CCCCAAAACCCCAAAACCCCAAAACCCCAAAACCCCAAGGGTCTCGATTAAAATTGATAAAAGGGAAAAATATGTAACCAGACTTGATATCGCCAGATACAACCAGTACGAAGACCTTCTAAAGCACTTGTGTGAAAAGTTCCACATTCCAAATCCGAAGAGGTATATGATTGTGAAGCATCCAGACCAAATAGTTGATGATCCTAAGTTGATCTCTGATAATTCTCAACTGATCCTGATGCGAACGAGGGATTATCACCCATATAAGAGAAAAGAACTTAAAATTTGGCTTGATGCCTTTATGCTTAAGAAAAGAATCAAGAAGAGCTTTGAGCTTAAGATGATAGAAGCAGAGGATGCTTTGAGACAATTTCAACAAAATGTCCCAATAAAGCCAAAAGCTTTGGTGGAGAGCATTCTCAAAACCGACTTTGCAAAGAAGAATGCTGTGGAGAGTTTTCATAAAAATTCAGAGATTTTACAATGAAATCCTGAATTATTCTTTGAATACAAAAAAGAAAAATCTCCATCCACGTTACCTTCTACTTTATATACAAAATCTAATGGGAAGAACATTAGTAAGCCAGTCCAGCATGCACGTCTACTTGCTTTCAGGAATATATATGTGAATGACATAGAAATTCTGACTCCAGACATGGAAGATTTCTGAACCCATACTCTACACTGCAAGAACTATGAAGACTTAGGAGAAACTGTCCGTATTCTCTGTCTAATGAAAGGCTTCAATATAATCTTCCCTCGAGGAGACAAGTACGAGACAATTCTGTACTGGTGAGAGTGATATGGAGATAGGAAAGGTGTCCAATCTACCAAAAGAACTGGATGCGACTTTAAACTCCAATATGAGCGAACTCCTGATCGTAAGGGATACTTCTTATACAAATACCAAGCTTGCCATAACCATCCAATTGATGAGAGAAATATGTATCTTGGAGATTATGCTTTCCAGAAAATGAATATTATATCTAAGGAGTTTAGAAAAGTAGCTCAAGATCCTGCAAATGCGAAGAAAATTGAAGAGCTCAAGAAAGAATCTGTTGATCCGAGGGAAAATTATGATTATGACCAAGAATATGAAGACTTTATTAACGGAATCAAACCAGTTGAGGATATGAGAGTCCTCAGATCATTCAATCGATGTGTCTACAATAGGAAACATATCAGAATTGATGCAGCGTGCAAATCCAGAGCATTTCAGGAGTTTGAGGATGGAGACATTCAAGATATCGAAAAAGATGGAATCGATTCAAATCAAAGTATGGCAGGAGTATATACAAATGTCAAAACCTATCCTTTCTATCCTGATTCTGACAACAGACATCAAAGAATCTTGCATTGTGCACAAGAATTTGAGTTAGAGCTCCTAGCTAAGAATTACAAGAGAGATCTCACTGAAACAATTCTAGATCTTGAAGAAGATTCTTTTGAGAAATATAAAATTGCTCAGCTCTCTAAGAAGAAGGACAAGATTGAGAGAAAACTCAAGGAGCTTCCTAATGAAAACCTTGATAATCTTGAAACAAGAGAGAAATATCTTAAACTGAACCAGATCTCTCACAACATCAGCCCATATCGGATCTTTGAAGTTACATCAGAATGGAATGATAATCAGGATGGATCTCCCTGAGAGTTCCTCAAAGACACAATGACTCAGTACAAAATTGAGGATGATTTTTACGTCCCTAAAAGAGTTGTTAATCGAAGGAAAACCAAAAAAAGAAGACCCTTTTGAAGGAGTCGAGGTAAAAGAGCCTGAAACAGATAGTTCCATTAGCACCATTGGGGAAGAGGACTCTGAACTTTGTTTAGACTCTATCCCAGAAGCTACTTATAGTCTAAGAGAACGGTCAATACAAGGTAATAATAATGTTGATGTCTCTAAAGAATTGGATTCTGAAATTCAGAACGATATTAGAGGAATTGAGTCAAATAATACATTCATTAAAAAGAAATCTAAGCAGACAAAATATGATATTAGTAAAGAAAAGGACCAATTCTCAGAGCCAGAGGTCAGACTTCCAGGTGAAGCATAGACTTGGGACCAAGAGATGAAGCTACTAGAACAGCATTTTGTTGATATTAAATCACACTATATGACAGTCTAGGATAAATATTAGAGTTAGATTCAAACGAGTTTGAACTTTATTAGATGCAAAAACATTCAAAATCTGACCCGAAAGTGTTGCTTTAGATATTAAAGGAACATTTGTCAGTCAAGCAATTAAGGAATTCTTCCACGATTCAAGTAAGTTTATTGGTAAGAATTTTCTGCAAATTGAAAAGCGACGGTATTTCCCTAAATTCTTTGATTGTCTCTGCTAAGCCAATTCAATGAGAAAGCTACAGGATCTAGTTCCACAAGATTAGATACGATCTTGTCTGTCAAGCATCTTGGTTATTAAAATCATAACTCTCATTATAAAGTTACACTTAAACTTTCAAAAAGTCTAAAGATTTTAGGGGTTTTGGGGTTTTGGGGTTTTGGGGTTTTGGGG